CATTCAGAAGAGATGCAATAAGCAGAACAGCCAAAGATTTAGAAAAAATAAAATAGAATTTACAGCATAAAAATGGCATTAGTGTACATTTGACTAGTTTTAGTATTGCAAAGCTCAAACTGAGGTAAAGCATAATAAGCGACATGTGTGGTTTCAAAATTAAGCCATGACTCCTATGACTACAGTAATACCTTAAAAATATAAGCAATCCATCGCTACAACAAATAAATAAACATAGACTTACAGATTCAGCAAAAAAAATAACAAAATATATTCGAAGCTTTTCAAATTTACTTGCATGCATTGTAAATATCTTATCAAAGCAACTTTCATGCAAGTTAATTATTATTATCAGAGCCAACAGCATCTGGACCAAAAACACGTTTTAGATCTGATTCCGTCTGAAAGCGATGATATGGATCTTCCTTGTTACCAGACTGACGAGCAAATATTCGACCCTGCCGCGTCCAAACATACCGCCAATTCAAGCTTTTTCCTATTTCGCGCACCCGCCTGAAGAGTCTCCTATTTTCCTTCGTCAACCTCTCGTTGATGTAAAATTTACATGGTTTCCCGGGGATGCCCATTCCTTCAGTTGTGGCGTCACGACGAATCCTTGCTGCCTTAAGGAGTTGATCACGCACAGAGCGTCTCGCCAGTCGGACAACAATAGGGCGTGGGCGCGAAGCTGGGCCCTCCGCCGAGGTAGCATCGATGACCCGACCTACTCGATCGGTGCTCACTATGTCTTGTTCGGAAAGATTAATAGTGAGTTTAATGGCTAAGGTGGTTACAACATGAATAAGATTTTCACCATATTGCTCTGGTATACCTGATATCTCAATGTCATTCAGCAGCAGGTCTTGTTCCCTGTCATTAATTTCTGCCTTTAACTGAGCTATTGTTGTAGAGTGACCATCCTGATTTTGTTGAACGTCTTGCTCCAATTTAAATAACTTTTCCTCAAATTTATCCAGACGACTCTCACACTCGCTCATTCTATGGGTAAGCGACAAAAATGTCTCTTCGACTCGCTTCATCTGGGCTCGGTTAGCTTGCATGTCCTCACGTACTTCCTCTCTAAAAGAGCGCAGCTCTATAAGAACTGTTTGCAATTCGGTCATTTCCAACGTTGCGTTGTGTGTCGTATCATCGAGGTAATCCATTGAGACTTGCTGGTTAGCCAAGGAAACATCCATGTGCATGGAGCTGTCGGTAGCAGCACCTCGGCGCACAGTGATTGAATCTGTAGCAGTTCGTACAGGAGTATTAGAGTTGTCGGTCTTCGGCTCTCGGCTCTTACATAGAACACATCTCCATGCAAGCCTGCGCTCCTGCGTCAACGTATTATAGTGCTGTTCTGATACATTGGCACACAGCAAATCGTAGTGTTGACTGCAACCTCCACAAAATAAGCGGCGTCTGTCCGCAATAATATTACGGCACCCATTACAAAGTATGTCCCCTGAAGACATGGTTACACTTAATTAAACGGTTTTGTGAAAAATAAAAATGAAAATCTTCTCTCTATTGTCCTAGTTAAACAACGAGACGATAAAAAAAAATAAAGAGAAAAAAAAAAGAAAACATATAGCAGGATCGAACTCGAGATTGCCGGCTGCAATGACGTGCCGCGCACCGCTACACCAAAGCGCCACAGACAAAATTGATCAATGTTAGGGACACTTGCTTGTTGGTATTGTTGCATGTATGCGATGCCAACTGGTACGTGCGCTCTCAAGGTCAACCGCATTAGATTGTCAACTTTCACTTGCACTGTTTAGTAGATGCGCCGGTTGATTTTTTATAGAACCACACTTCACTTTGACGAAAATACTGCAAATTTCTTTGAAAAACATACACACCCCATTATGTACTGATTTCAACTATTGAATAAACTAGAACTTTGTACAAAAACTTTGAGTTAAACCGTTTTTTAACAATAAATACAAGCGAACAAACACAACACGTCCGATGCCGCTGTCGCGCCCCGCGCTCCTCCCGAGTGCGAGCGAGAGAGTAGTACGAGTGCGAGCTCACGAAAACTATCATAGTTTTCGTAATTGTAAAACTCGTACTAAGGGTACAGTACCTCGTGCGTGTCTCGGACGATTCGAAATCTGAAAAGGGACGATTTTTAGACAAAAGCTATCTCTGCAGAAATATTAAACTGAAGGCAGAACTATATTTACTTGACGTGTTGTGTTGTGACGCGATCAGCTTCATACATTTAGTACTGTTAGAACTTTACTTGTATGTAGCGATGTGTCGATAGCGTTCTCAGTAACTATACTAAATATATGAAACGGATAGCTCTCTAATGCGTTACAACAAAGTACGACAAATAAGTGTAGTTCTGCAATAATGTGGTTAAATGAAAAAACCACAGAAAAAACATAATAGGGTAGACGCATAAGCATCTAATAGTCTGTGGGGTAGACTATATAACAATTGGCCCCCATAAGCGGATTTTATATTTGTTTGTCTGTAGTAAATTAATTATTAGTTTTCGTTCGAATGTAGTTCCACAATGCTGTTAAGTAGGGTTTTATTGTCAAAATAAGAAGAATTTAAACAGCTCAATATTACTTATTATGCATAAAAATATTTCAAAATCAACGGTAAAACTTTCAAATATAAATCATTGGCCCTCGACGTACAATAATAATTGGACCCTACGTATATCAGTGATTGGCCCTCTTATATTTTTTTATTCTATTATATGTACCTTAAGATACTTAGGTATGCATAATGGCCTGTGCAAACCTCCACGGACGAAAGTCCCTCAATCTTGAAAAAAATGTCCACTTAAGACTTGTCAAGCGAACTCGGTGTGCGGACACTGTTGCCCAAAAATTGAGAATGCGCACACTATGCAAATGAAAATTTTAATTATAACAGATAACTTTGTGTTGTAATTACCATAAGTTCAATAAAAAAAGAAGACGTTTTAAAAAGGAATACTAATCCTCGCGACGCAGGTAATTGCGTGGTACATTCGGCCAGCAGCCAGCAGCCCGAGGGCCACTAGTAAGTGCAGGTATACTTTGACGTGCACTCACGCAAGCGTAGCATACGTCAAACCAGCCCGCCTTCGGCCGGCAGCTCGACTCGCACCCGTATCAGCTGATCCTGGGTATCTCCGTTCACAGTGTCACCTAACTAGTCCCACAGACCGCAGTCCGAGCGGATAACCAGCCGAGCTGCTTCCGTACCAGGCATACACCCAGGCGTAACGGCGAGACCCGGTTAAGAGTCGCCGCTCACCAAGATGAGTGAAAAGGGTTTTTGACTACCCCACAGAAGCTTATCGAAAAAGCCAACTCGATACATTTCGTGCCAAATACTCCAAGAAACAATAGAATGTGTCACACCTACATTCTAATGTAAAAAAATTAATAAAACTTAAAATTAGGCTGTATACATATTGTTTCCTTAGCCTTGCCTGAAATGGGATAATCTTAAAAAAAATCGTAATCATAGACCTATGATGTCTAAAGTGGCTTCCACACGATACAATTTTACGTCCAATTTGATTAGATTGACAATCGAATTGTGTTGTGTGGACGGAAATATGAAATTGAAGGTCATTGGATGGTCGGTATCGCCCGATTCGGGATTGCCCAATCAAATTGGGTGGTGTGGACGCTAACTGGCCAATTTTTTAACGTAGTCACTGTGCAAGCGGCGTTCAGAGCGGGTGTGTGCGTTGACTTGTCTTTTGAGAAGAAGATGGAGCAACATGACGACAATATTATGTCTATTCGATCTGAATGGGAAGTAATGGAGGAGATTTTAGATATATGTAAAGAATTGCCATGCCTTTGGGATGTGTCTAACCCATTATATAAAAATAAACAAGCAAGGCATAATTCCTTAGAGTTTTTGCGGAATAAGTGGAAAAATATTGATAAAAATATTACTGTTGTAATTTTTGTTATTTTTAAAGCATGTAACTGCTTGATGTTTATATCTAAAGAAAATATAACTAGAAAAAATTCCACGCGGACCAGGCAGTTATTTGTTATTGAAAATAAAAAATCATTTAATTAAATTTATATTCTATTCAATGATATGCGCGCATGCTGGGGTATAAAAGAAATGATATTATATGTATTTTTTTTTATTTTTTAGTTTTTAAGCATGTAATTGCTTGATGTTTAAATCTAATGAAAATATAACTAGAAAAAAATCCACGCGGACCAGGCAGCAGACGGGACTCGAACCCTTCGCAATCCGGGCGAATGCACTGACCAATTATGCTACCGCGGCCCTCACGGACCGCGTCGAAATTCTTCCAGCCATTCTTAAGTTGCAACGCAGCGCCATCTCTTCGCATTATTGGTAACCCACAATGTCAAATGAATACTTTTACAAGTATTAAACATTTGAAAGAAGAAATAACAATTATAGTTATAAATTTTATTATTTTTAAAGCATGTAACTGGTGTCGATTCTGACGTGATTCTCTAAACCTAAACGTAAATTTGACAACAGTATATCCTTGTTAATCTCTATACAGAATGAAAAGGAGAGACTGATGTTAAATTTAGGTTTAAGTTTAGAGAATCGTGCCAGAATTGAGACCACTGCTTGATGTTTAAATCTAAAGAAAATATTACTCAGTTATATTTTAAAGGGTTTTCGAAGGGTGCGGGTTCGAGTCCCGTTTGCTGCCTGGTCCGTGCCTTAAGTGCCTCAATTGCTTTCTTTTTAATAACCATTGTTTTGTCCACAGTCTTCTTTTTCTTTTTTTCTCATCTACATTTGTAGTTAGAGCCAAGATTAATCCAATTTTTTGCTTCTTGGTAAGAGGCATCCTAATACAAACAAGTCCGTTCAGCAGATACAACAAATAAAACTGAAATTGGCGATCTTGTTGTGTATGTGTAGACGGACGACCAGATTGTACCCAATTCAATCGGCAATCAGATTGGCAATCAAATTGTGTCGTGTGGAAGGGGTTTAAGTCTAATTTTGTTTCTCTTATTAGTCTGTGGATTTTGTTAAGAGAAGGAGAGATCGAAATGGCGAATGTTGTTCTTGATGCTTGATAGTTTAATAACAGAACTTTTGTTATATTGTCCTTGTGCTAAGTTCATTAATTTTCTTTGTGTTTCAGCTGTTTTAAATTTCTATAATATTTTAGTGAAATTGGTTCTTGTCGGATATGGTGAACTAAATTGCAATAGGTAAGGCATCGTTATCTTTTCTCTTGTCCTTTAATCTTTCAAGAATGTTAGTACTATAAGCATTATTTTTATTAGTTTTGTTAACAAGATCTTAGTTTTGTATGTAATAACAAAATCACTCTGTAAAATAAATCATTAACCTTTGCAATTGAAGAAGAGAAAGGTGCATTGTTTGTAACCTACATTCTATTGCGTTTTATAGTTTACCCACTTTTTTGGTATTACCTTTTGTCCTGTGTTCAAGTTTACCAAGTTGTGGTTATGATGTTCCATATCATTATTTATTGTAAATGACATCGTATTCTTGGGTATTATGTTTCTAATAGTAGCTAACTGCTGCTTAGTTTCTTAAAAAATATATTCATTTACCTAAATGAAATAATGAAGATTTCTAGTAATATTCTTGTTTGATTTAAAAATATAGCTGATAAACCCATAAAACATATAATACTGTTGTTTTTAATTCTATGTAACAGGTGTTACATGTGGAGAAGAAGTGACATGCATTGTATGTATAATTTTTCCTTGATTATTTAGTAAGAACTTTATATTTTCAGATAAGCTGGACCACTAGCAGTAATAAAGGTAAAATATTATTCTAGGTATCTGTTTATTTTTATAGTGTGGTCCTTATATCCTTCAAATTATATAATTATGATAGTGACCATTGTTTTTTGGGATAGTCTTTTAATTATTTCCTTTAGTACATCATAACCTCTCAGGCGGCCATCGACCGACTTTTGGTTTTTGACGTTACCCCGACTTGCGGCCAGCGACCAAAAGTCGGTCGATTTACCATACGAAAGTCGGACCCGTGCCCAATGCTGCTTTAATTTGGCTCTTACCTACATTTTTATATCAATTTTTAGAGGAAAAAACGGGCTAGCTATCAAGCCATTGATTAAAACAACTGCCAAATGAAATATTTATACTGTTGTCTGTCAAAGTTCGTCGTTCGCCGTTTTTTGTCTGAAAAAAAATATGCCGTGTATTCAGACTATTTTAAGTGCTTTTGAGTGGTTTTAAAGAAAAAAACACCATGCCTGGTTAAGTTAAATACATTTAGTTACTCTATTTTGATGTTTCGTTTGCGGGTCTCCGTGAATTTTTTTTTTTTAGAATTTTTTTGCAGACGCGGTCGCAAAAAAAATCAGCGAAAACTTAGGGGTACTTACCCTATGTTTTTATTTGATAATTTCGATAATAATTGTAATGTTTTAATTTTTAATTATTGAATAAATTATTCATGATTAATACTTCGAATACAAAGAATCTCTTGAGTTCGTATTTTTGAAGAAATAAAAAAAAAACAAAATCCGCGCGGTGGAACGGTTGTTCGAAATTCAAATACACGAACGAAATATTTTTTTATATTATTTTCTTGTATGTGAACTAGTGATTAGTTTTTCTTTATTCTAAAGCAAATTTCGCGTACATTCTGATAAAAAAAACTGTTTACCAAAATTGTAAATACTTTTCGTTTTATAGACATAAAACTGAGATGACTGATTTGTAGGCGATTTTTAAATGCCTCGTTGTAAGTTCTTAAACCTAAAAAATATACAAACGTTATTCATAACAATCTTGGTTCTAATGTTATCTTAACACTCGGAGCTAATGGAGTAATAAATTATAGCCATCCAAACAGCGGGCGTAATCTTTACGACCCACTTGAAATCTGAGTATGTTTATATTAACGGCGCACGTGTTGACACATTTGGCGCGCGCTCGAGACAGATCTGTAGTGTAAAATTTAATTGTGGTAGTATAGAATTTTAGGTTTTTATTTGGTAAGTTATAATAGAATGTGCAAATAACCAAAAAATCTGGACATGAAATTTTGAGATTTTGAAAATATACTCCATTTTACCCGTCTAAACGCCTTTTTTTTATCTTTCCCGAGTTTACCGTAACGTAATTAAAATAGATTATAGACATGACGCATTGTTTAGACACTGTTTTATAGTAAATTTTATGGAGAATCCAAATATATATAGTTTGTGTAGGGTATTCTTACAAAATAACTGAGAAATCGGCAAAACAATGCAACCATTCCCACACCGCGGGGGGTCTCGGTGGGTGGTCGGTCCAATGACCCCTTCGCGGCACGTGCGGATGGCCGCGGGAGAGGTTATAGGGCATCTTCACATGCTTCAATTGGTACTAAGTGATTCCAATGACTAAAGGTTCAGCAGCGCAATTCTGTAAAATAAAATCTCACTTCTGAATTAGATAGCTGCCAATTTCGATATTACTTTGATATCAATGATGTTTCATAGTTATAGATACAACATACACACTTGTGATTTGGCAATGCGAAAGTCAGTTAGTTACCTGACTTGCATTCATTCGGTCTCTCGCTGCAGCATTGTATCTAACAAAATCATCATGCAGTATAGTTTGTTCTTGGTAAAATATATTATTAGAACAACACTACATTCAAAAATCTTACAATATATGGAATACATCTAGACTGCTGATGTGATCGGATATGTTTATTTATTTAAAATCATTTGATTAAATGATCAATTGCATAATCGTGACCTAGCTAGCCATTGTGGAAGAGCTTTAATCTGTGTCAATCAGTACATAGCGAATAAGATTTTTGTTTAAAGTGTGTTAAGCTTAAATCAGACCAGAAGTTGAGAATTAACAATTTATGCTGCAAAATGTCCCATGGGACGTCTCAAATGGCCGTGCAGTACCAATCCCTGAAGCAAAAAACAATGCAGACCCATATAACACTTCAAGCCCTTAAAGAGAAACATGATCTCTCTCAACGACTCCAGGATCTGAAAGTGAGTATTTAATCCTCAAGAGCAGTAGCAGGAACTGTCTCCTTTGCTGATATGCTTAAGAACAATGTAGTCCAGCCCAAAGCCATAACTTCGGTTACTATATATCCTGCAAAACTGCAATTACATTATACAAGCTCCAGCAAGCCTACGGAAGACCCTCATAAATAAAGAGAGAGTGTTTATAAACTGGTGTTTGTGAGAGACGAACGTAAGAGACTTTACCTTAGTAACTAGGTGCTACAGGTGTCAGCAGTATGGTCACGCAGCCAAAATAAGTCGAGATGAGAACTGTAACAATTTTTGTTATCACCGACTATTTCAGGGCTTACATGAGACTCGAAACTTATTTAATTTATAATCAGGGCGCCGTGATACTGTGATTTGAGGGAGATAAATGAAAATGTCTAAAACCGCAGTGAACAAGATATTATATTGTCAAAAATGATTCAGATCTTATTTCATCATGGTTAAAACTTAATACTAGTCACATTCAAGTTAATAAATACATAGTTATATTTCCTCAAAGATCTTTCTTTTGATTTAAAGATATTTATACATTCAAGATCATGTGCTAATACAGTAATACTCAATTTAAGTTTCTTATATAAACAAATTATTAAACAAGTTATAAAATATTAAGTTTTGAGTATTTAACAATAAAAATTTGTTACGTTCTTATAATGGCTTTACAGTTTACCAATTCAAATCCTTGATCACGTTAAACAGAAATTGTTCTCCGGAGTATGCACTGGTTAAATATCAAGAAGTTATAAGTTTTACTTAGCTTGGCAAGATCATGGGAGCATCAGGATGACTCAAATGTCCTCAGGGATGAAGCAGGACTTGCTGTCATCACGTGAACACGTCACTTTTTTGCTCAAGGAAGCTTCACAGGCTCATATATATATATATTTCCAAGGAGATTCCAATCAGGATCAAGTAAATGTGACTATTACTGTTATTTATTAGCCAAATTAATGGACCTAGAACCAATTACATATTTTTCTATAATTCAATAAAAAAACTAACTGGACCTACAGCCTAACGAATCAAATGTATTGAACTTACCCGTTAATCCGGGGAGAAATATCAAGTATATAGTGCACTGACTACCACTGCTAGTCTTAATGCTATTTTCTAAGTATGGTCTTCAAGGTTCTATTAGCCAAAAGAGAGCGAATCTGTTTGTGCACTGCTATTTATAGGCTACTACAACACGTGACAGCGTCATTGCAAATTTCTCTCATATCACCATATTTGGTATGAGGAAGCAAACGGACCGGTTTTGCTGACTCCGCCTTTCAATGTTTCCAGAACATTAATGTGACGTCACATCCATTTCCGCATCTCATTTAAAAAATTACACACTAGCTCCCTCTAACTTACATTCCAAATGCAACTACTAGGTTCACACATATATTGTACTTGACCATTGCTTTTCAAAGTGGATTTCGATATTGAATAATTTATATGCATGATGATAGATGGCGCTGAATAAATAATAATATTTCTACGACTTAATATTTAAGAATTATATTGCTAAGTTTTTTAACGTTATTAAATTTAATTGCTACACAACATCCCCCTTATCTCAAAAAATTTTTCCCAAAAAATTTTTTTTTTAATTAATTAACCTGCAACTGACTTACAGACAAATCAACAATACTAAGTATTAGCCAAGATAAAAAAATTTAAACTTATATACGTGAGTATCCATTTATTTACTCCACGTAATGTTCTAAGCTCTAAGTCAATAGCAACAATTAAATATTTGCTGTTTAATGATTTTTCTTTTAGTTTCATGTAAATACCTTTCTTGGATCTAATATCCAGTGGTATAACATGACTTTTCTGTTCATCTTATGAACTTAAGGTAGTTAAGAAAACAACTCAAGATTAAAGAAGTTTGTATGTTTTCTAACTCAAAAGATTAAGATTATTTTCTAACAATCTTCCTATCTTTAATTATCAAGTCTAAAGTATATGTCCACTTCCTAATGCTTATGCCTTTCTTACATCAAGATCTATTTTTCTATTAATTATTAAAATAAATTGCACGTGTTAACTTTGGAAAATGCTTTTCATACTTCTCGCATCACATACTACTTTCATACCCATATGCATATCAGTGAACACAACTTGACTAAAATATTTTATTGTTAAAAATATTTCTTTTTGTGTTAAAATATTAAAATTCCACTAAATATATTTAAGTGTTCTTTTAAAAGTGAGAATTTAAGTTAAAAAGGGTTGTCAATAAATATTTATTTAATTAAAAGGAAAAAATAATTTAATTTTCTGGCAGGTTTCGAACCGTAGCCCACAGATTTCCATATACACTTTTCCTATACTTCAACTCTTCTTAGCCAACCGATTAATACTGAAAGTGACCAAAATAAGCATCAAAAGGGATTCAAAGGTTTATTAATTTTTAAGTTTGTTAAAAAAAATTTAAGCTATCTTTACTAAGTTAACATTACATTAAAGCAAAAACATCTACGATCAAGATTGGACAAAGTATCAACTGGTGGTGACAATTAAGTGGTTACCACACATTTAATAAATATTTATTCCTTTAGTGGGAAACAATTAAATATTTTCTCATCTTTTGGAACTAAATATTATTAAGTTAAATAATTTTCATTCCTCTGGTGAGCAGCAATCAAGTATCCGCTTACCTTTTGGAAGAAAGTATTATTAAGTGTAAACTTTTGTTCCTTGGGTGTGAAACGATTAAATATTTCCACACCTTTTGGAAAAATTGTCAAGTTTAAATTATTTAGCATT